CCCCAAAACCCCAAAACCCCAAAACCCCTAAATTAAGCTAGAATTGAACTTTTTATTTGGAGAGAAGTTTAATGGTCCTAACCAAACTTACACGGTCATAGTTCAAGCCACTGTAGTTCCTAGTTTCACTAGTTTATGCAAGAATCCAATATTAGAGTAAGAGAAACTTCACCACCAGTGTCGAGGAGAAGGAGTATGAGGATCTTGAAATTTAAGCAAGATCGTGATAGCCTCACTACTGAGGACACTGATACTGGTGATAAAAGACTGGCTTTTAAGCAGAAAATTAGATCTGCAAAAAAGAGAAGTCCTAAAAAGAAGAAAGTGGCCAAGAAAAAAATTTAAACCTCAGAAAGTAAAGAAAAAGAAGAAAATATATCCTCCTATTCTTGTAGAAATTACTGTTGATCCTGCTATTGTTCAGCAAGTTAGAGAGTATAGAGCCAAACATGGACTTCCCACAAGTGCTAAGCCAAAAGTAAAATCTCAAAAGGCCAATTGTAAGAAGCCTAAAAAGCGATCAGTGCGGAAAGATACCAAAAAGCGACAAGATATTTTTATGGTTATCAAAAAGCAAGATGACCACTATATTTTTGAAGATATCCAAATTGTATCTCAGCCAGTAACTAAGGTAAGATTCGTAATAATTTGTGTAAAGTTTAACCATAATTCACACTAAATCTTAAAACACTCAAGAGTTCCAAAGTGGTTTGCCTGACTCATTCTTTAGGAGAGAAATGCGATCAAGTGTAAACGACCCTAAAGAGTATGCCTGAAAGTCATATATGAACAGCATGAATTATAGGAAACCTTACTGCTACTATTCCAATGGGAAGCAGTACTTCAAGAAAAGAGAGCAGAAGCAGATATCCAAAGGATATGGCCTTCCTAAGTCATTTAAGCCTAGTAAAAACAGGAATTATGAGCAGATAAATGATGCTGATATTGAGGAAGGGCTTCCATATTTCCTCAGTAAGGAAAATATCAAGGATAAGAACGGAAACCGACCAGGTGACAAAGATTATGACTGCACAACTCTTTATGTACCTGAGAAGTATATGAAATATCGTACACCAGCAATGAAGCAATATTGGAAGCTCAAGTCGGAGAATTACGACAAAATTTTGTTGTTTAAACTTGGTAAATTCTATGAGCTGTTTTATGAGGATGCTATCATTGGAAATAGACACCTAGACCTCAACTGGATGGGGTCAATTAAAAAGCTTCATGTTGGCTTCCCTGAGAAAGCATTGAATAAATATCTTGGAATCATAGTCAACCTTGGTTACAAAGCAGCAGTAGTTGAGCAGATGGAAACTCCAAGAATGAGAAATAAAAGAATGCAATCTAATCTTTATTATACTCCAAAAGTAGTTATGAGAGAAATATGAAATATTTACAGTAAAGGCACATTCATAAACCCATTTAAGACATCATATGATTCAAGATGGGTGCTAGCATTCACCAGTGATTTTGAAAGAAATATCGGAGTTGTATTCTTTGATATCTCCACTTTGAAGCTAAATGTTGGTCAGTTCAAGGATGATGAAATGTATAACAAATTCAGAATGCTTTGATCTCAGCTGAGACCCATTGAAATAATTTATGACAAAGATAAACATTATCAGGAGCTTATTAGAATATTAGATAACTCTCCAAATCCTCCAGCAAAATCTGACTTGCCATCATTTTTATGTGGAAATTCTTTTGCTTGATTAACCAAACTTGAGAAATATTTCTCTATGGACAAATCAAAGTGGCCAAAATCACTGATAGAAATCCTTCTCAAGATGGCTAATTGAGAGATGGCACTGACCTCCCTAGGAATGACAATTTCATATCTACAGAAATCCATGCTCGATGAGCAAGTAATCCAACTTGCCACTTACCAAATGTATGATCCGGATAAGATAAAATCTTCCAAAATGATATTAGATGCTCAGGCTTTGGAACAACTGCATATTCTAGACATACCAGGTGGGACAGAGAAGGAAAATACAGCTTCTCTTTTCCAAATTCTGGATCAAACCTGCACAAAATTTGGTAAAAGAAGCTTCAAAAGATGGGTGACCACACCTCTTTGTTCAATCCAAATGATCAATGAAAGGTTGGATGCCATCGAAGATCTCATGTATCACCCTTCAGAACTCGAAAAATTCCGTCAAAACCTCAGTACCCTCCCTGACCTGGAAAAGAAGCTCTCCACTATCTACCAATACAGCATCACTCAAAACAAGAAGGCCATATACTTCGAGAACATCAACAGGAAAAGACTGACTGAATTCTACTCCTTAATAGATATCCTTAAGAATGTAGGCCAAATAGTTGAACCTCTAGTCACGAACAAGGCTACGTTTATGTCAAAAAGACTTAAACAGTTGCTGACTATAAGGAGAATGGAGACTGAAGAAATGGAACAGAAGGAATTTGAAGAACTTGATGATGATAAAGGGGTTTTGCCAGATGTTAGTGAGGAGATGGAGGAGTTTGAACAGATGATAGAGTGGAAGACTGATAAGGAAGATAAGCCACTTCCGCAGCCGAAAGATGGGCTAGATAAGGAGTTTGATGCGGTTAAGCAGAGGATTTTAGGGATAGAAGATAGGTTTTATGATTACCTTGTGACTATTCAGAAGAGATATAATGATATTTCGATTAGGTATACTCATACGAAGTATCGGTATGAACTAGAGATTCCTGAGAAGCATACTAAAGGGACTAATAAACCTCCTGAATATGAATTCACTTCTAGCAGGAAGGGGTTTCATAGGTTTCACACTCCAGAGATTAGAGAATTAGTAGAGGAACTAGAAGCAGCAGAAGAAGCTCAAAATGAAGCCCTTGTTCCTTTTATATGCTCAATATTTTCGCATTTTTACTCAAAGAAAGAAATCTGGGATAGACTCACATCCTGCCTATCTGAGTTAGATTGCTTATGCTCTCTTGCTTGAGTGAGCATGGATGAGAAAATGGTTATGAACAGACCACAATTCATTGATTTTGAGCAGAATAAATTCCACTCATATCTTGAGCTAAGAAATATGAGGCATCCTGGAGTGGAAGCTACTGGCGTTGATTTCGTCCCTAATGACACAATAGTAGGCAAACGTTATGATTTAGATGAAGATATTGAGAATCAACCTCCTTCAACACTCCTTATTTCTGGCCCAAATATGGGAGGAAAATCAACATTATTGAGACAAACCTGACTAGCAGTGATAATGGCCCAACTTGGATGTTATGTTCCTGCAGAAACTTGAGTTCTAACTCCTATTGACAGAATCTTCACAAGGATAGGTGCATCTGACTGAATTTTTGAAGGAAAATCAGTATTCTTTACTGAAATGGAAGAGACAAAACAAATTATTGATAATGCAACTTCTCAAAGCCTGGTAATAATGGATGAACTTGGCAGAGGTACCAGCACTTTTGATGGCTTTTCCATTGCAAAAGCATCTCTTAATTACATTCATAAATCGATTAAAGTAAGCTTATATGCTCTAACCTACAGTGATTATGCTTGTTCACAACTCATTATCACATGTTAACAAAGATATTTGACCAGGAATATGATATCAAGAACTACCATATGGGATATGAAGAAGATCCTGAAGAAATGAAAATAAAATTTCTGTACAAACTCACTAAAGGAAGATGCAAGCAATCCTTTGGGATCCAAGTGGCCAAGATTACAGGTCTTCCTGAAGAGATATTGTATTCAGCTCGTGAAAAATCGAAAGAGCTTTCTTACAAATTACAATTACTGACTGAGGATATCAAGCGGATTGAAAAATAATATCTTTCAATATTTTAGGCATATCTTGGGGTTTTGGGGTTTTGGGGTTTTGGGG